TCAGACGATAACAGGCTGCCCTAAGTAATGAGCGTTTTCAAAACGCTGTTTCCTGAAGCTTCGAAACCTTCGCAAATCATTTTAAACATCATCTAAAAAAAACTCCAAAGTCACATGATTTCAGCAAACAATGCTTCGTTACGCCATAACTGTTTCGAAATTTCAATGTTTTGCCACTAGGGGGCGATCTCTAAATGAATAAATTATAAATTTGCAGACATTTTAATGATACAATTGTATAATAAAAACTAAAAGTTGTAGTTAGAAGTCTCTTATTGGCTCAATTAACCAAGCACTCCATAAAAGGAAAAAAAACAAAAACAAGCCCTACTATTTAATAAAAATAACGCACATTTTACAGACACTTCACATGTAATAGTATTAGATTTGTTAATTGCATGTAATAGATTACACTTTCAATAAAACATTAGCAGATGGTTTATAAAACATGTTTGCGCATGCCTGGGCTGTTTTCATTGCATTTATGTAATTTTGATCAGCATTTTGAGTGTTTCAAAACAATTAATCATTTTGCGATGCGATTAGTTCAGTTGATTCTAAGTTTCGAAAAGCTTTGTTTCTCCCATCAATATCTGAGCTGTGCATGTTGTCTAAACACATGGAGAAGGGCACTTACGGTGCATTCAAGTCCTCCTGGGAAGTTCGTATTTATGAGGAGGGAAGTTGTAAATACGAAGTCAGGGCATTCAAGTTACTTTGGTCAGAGAGCAAGAAGGTGATTGGAGCTTTTGAATTTTTTTATGCTTTTATTAGGGCTGTCAATTTAACTCGTTAATCTAATTAGTTAGTTATGAAAAATAACATGATTAAAATATTTTAATGCAATTAACACCCCCGCCAAGACCTATGTACAGTAGGTCATATTACATTTCATACAGTTGATTGGTGATGAACATGAAGCAGATCAACAGTTCACTGCCTGATGTAGCCTATAGAATGCAGTTATATGCCCCTAAAATTCAAGAGATAATTCAAGGAAAAATGCCCCCGTAAGAGTTTTTCATATTTATATGATATGATATAAGAATAGCATGAGTGCAAATGTTATTTTATACAACAGTTCAATATATAAGACGTTAATATTGTGCTATATTTTAAACACAATATTGTCTGTTTTTGCTCAATTTTGCCAACAAAAATATTACCTATAAAGCCAGAACAGAACCTTTGTGCATCTCCAAGGAACACAGCGGGGATTAGTTTCTGAATTAATCCAAAATGGGTGAGCCAATGATTCAGCACGGATCAGCTCCAGGCATGACGAAGCAGATATCGTCCTCTTGTTATGCAAATCTTCCCACATTGTGACGTAGGTATGTGGGGGCGTGTTTGAACGGGCCGTTTAAAGGTAGGCGTGGCTGACTCTTAACTTTTATAAAGAATATCTCTTTGGATTTGAGACTTTAGTCTTTGCAACTTTACAGATCTTCTTTATGCACCAAGAGCTTGTAACACTCCAAAGAGAAAGGAAAAATTGAAATCGCATCATATGACCCCTTTAAACAAAGTTCAGAGTTTCTCACTCAGAACTTGGTGGTGCCGCTCATGTGCTTTCAACTCATAAATGACTTAACGCACTATTAGTCACAGAGATCACAACAACTTTTATGTGTTCTCTGTGTCTCATCATCTCACAGACTCCTTTTCTCTTCTCCCAACACGTGCCCTGTAGCACAAAGGGTTTCTATTCTCGTACTTCTGGTCATGTGAGTGTGGGGGTCAGGGGCTTGTGGTCAGGTTTACAGGGCCGCTATGAGCTCACTGCTGACCCCCATACACAGCAGATGGCCCTCACTCTGCATGCTGGGATATGGTAGGGCCGACTCACTGTCCTGGAAAGACCCTCACAGTGGAGGTAGATATCACACACACACACACTTCTTCTCATGTAGCCTCCTTGAGTCAGAAGAGGAAGCTGCACACAAGCAGAGAGATTGTCCCTGCTTTCAGCAGGTCTAGTCTGTTGTATGTCTTTGTGGATTTGGATTTGGTTTCAGAACATTGACTTCATGACATAAGCACAAGGTAAAGTAAGTAACTTTTAAAGTAGTAAAAGATGTAGACGTGTGTGTGGGTTCCTACAGGTACAGCCTGATGCTGTTTGGTGTTTTGGTGCATATGGGACTGTTTGAATCATCAAAGCATGCTGGAACAGTTTGGATTGTTGTACTTGCATGGATTGATGTGTTGATATGACAGAATATGGTGTAAATTATAAGGACTGGACTGTTAATGTAATGAGTGCGTTTTCGTACAGTCTTAAGGTGCTGTCACATTTTTACTGTTGCTCGGTAAATTTTTGTGGGCAAGATCCAGTCATTTCAATTTTGCATGAGGGCTAAAGATTTCATCACACAGTTTGAATTCAAGTTTTTCATGTGAATTCGCCGTGTTGACCATCAGAAAGCTGCTTGATTTTAAAGTGATTTCTGTGTGAGCTGTGATTCATTCTGTATATCGCAGTTGCGGAATTTTTTACCGAAATTATGCTGACCCCTACACTTTTACATGCTTAACTTGCCATATAAGATCATGTAAATGCCTTAAACAGAATTTGGTTGTTGGTTAAATGGTTCAGATTCCTTTCCCTAGTTTCGCTGTGTATGCAAACAGACTTCTAATTGAGACATGTCTGTTTACATTTTATTGTCAAAACTGGACAAAACCTCAGTGATTTAAAATGTAAAGTGATTTCCTTTTTAAGAGCTATTAGTTATTTTAAAAATAGTTTGTAAAAATGTTTTCCAGTAAACCGTAAGCTTGGTGACATCTAAATTAACTCGTTTTATTTAAGTCAAAGAAATTATTTAATATTGAGGATGATTTTTTTTCCTCCTATAATAAACCTGATTAGATAAATAGATTGGGTGACTCTAAAATTAAAGGGTTAGTTCAAACCTGACTTTCTTCTGTGGAACATAAAAGAAGATATCTTGTGAAATACATTTTTTCTCCCAACAAATGGAAGTCCATGCTCACAAAAACCAACATGGTTACCAACATTCTTCAAAATATCTTATATTATGTTTCACAGAAGAAAGAAAGTCATACAGGTTTGGAACAACATGAAGGTGAGTAATGGATGACAGAATTTATGTGGGTTGTTGTTATAGTGGCCTCTGTGTCGTCCTCCCCAGAATGCATTGGGGTTTGGAAGCATGACGGTGTCAGTGATGACATCACACTCGAAGAGGAAAAGGGAACTTCTGTTAGACTTGAAATGAGTGTCTTTTCCATTGTGTGAATAAAAGATTTACAAATCGGACAAACATTATAGACTGCATGACAGAATGCAACAGGTGCGCTTCAGGTTTTCCCTTTTGGCTTGAACTGAACAGGTGCTTGTTGTTTCTCTTGAGCCATGTAATTCCTGTAACAAGGAGGAATTACAAGCAATCTCAGTGCTGGATAAGATCTGTTTCCTGTGCATTCCGTGTGCAGTTGGCCATCTGTAGCAGAGAAAGATAGGTTTATTAATCTCAAGCCTCAGATCCTTTGTTGTAACTCTTGGTTCAAGAAGATTAGAGCAGTGCTGCACAGGCATAGAGCCAGATTCCCTATCTTACTCACGAGGCCATGCTCTTGTCTCTGGGCCGTGTGCCCGGTCACCCCTAAACAGTTCTAACTCTGAAAGCCCATCTGACCTCACATTCAGGGAAGCGGTTTCACTACGTTTTCCAAAAACAGACTGTGGGAAAACTCGCATGTATGTATGTCTGAACATCTCCAATGTTGATGAGAAATCCCGTGAGATGAGTGATTGATGCTGTAGGTTCATCATACGCATGAGTGTGTGTTGAGGTTGAACCATGGTAAGTCACTGTAAGTTGAAAGGTTTTTGGCTCACACCTGCACACTCCTGTTCCTTATGTGGAGGCAGTATGGAAGTATGCGGACCAGCTGCAGCTCTCCTCAGCTGTTAGAGTAAAGAGTCACAGAGAGAGATATATACACAGTATATATTTAAAAAAAAAAAAAAAGTAAATAATAAATTAACTCCATAGCAGATCTCAAGTGATCAAGGGCTTAGGACATTCCAATTCAGCACTGTAAAAAAAAACGGCAGATGTGGTTGCCAGAAATTTACCGTAAAAACACAGTAGGTTTTACGGTTTTAACTTACATTTACAGTAAAAACTGGATTACATTAACCATATAATGTTAATATGCCAACCTACTGAAGTACGAATATCAGTTTTGACAACCACCAAAAACAGGTGGTGATGAGAAAGTCACATGATGAATCAAATTCTGGGAATGTCATTTTTTCACTGTAAATTATACAATGATTTTTTTCTACTTCCAAAAACTGTATATTTAACAGTATTTTACTGTAAAATTACATTAAATGTAAGGTTAGATTTATTACAGTTATTAACCATATATAGTACAGAAACCAATGTTAACCAATTGCCAGGTTTATCATGGCATTTTTACAGTCTTTTAAAGTTAAAATCACAATCATTTTTTACAGTGAACCCACTGGAAAGGTTTCACTAGTAGTGGACCCTTGTGCAATGCAAGCAATGTTATAGAGTCAATGAGACGGAGAGAAGATAGCGAGGGAAGGGCACAAAAAAGTGAAGTGGAGTGCAGCCATGGAAATAAAACCGTGAACTCCAAATAAATATTATAAAATCAACAGTACATAACAGACTCCTTCCTCCAGAGTCTCCCAATCACAGGTCTGCATCTGTAAAAGGGTAAATCTGTTGAACTAAAACACATGGATTAGTTGATGTTGCAGGCAGGCCTATCTTCTGAACATCTTTAAGATACTATTACATTTTCTTCTACTGACCTGATCTGAACCTCCGCTCTCATTTTACATTCGGCGTTTGTTAAAATTCTGTTTATTTTACAAGCTGGGGTTTTCTATTACACTGCATTTTTGTTGTAAACCAGCTGTAAACAAAACCACTTGCTTGATTTTCTTTTACAGAATGCACTATATTACACCCATATCCTGACTACATTACCCATGTGTCCTCTCTCTCTAGGTCTGACTGGGTGGAGATCGTGGAGCCGCGCTCGAGGGAGCGCATGTACGTCAACCTGCTGACCGGCGAGTGCGGGTGGGAACCGCCGCCAAGCGTCCCGGTCCGTCAGTCGGACGGCAACCAGTGGTGGGAGCTTTTTGACAGTAATAACAATCGGTTCTACTACTACAACTGTACAAGCCAGCAGACGGTCTGGCATAGGCCTCAAGACTGTGACATAGTGCCTCTAGCGCAACTCCAAGCCATGAAGAGGAGCTCTGAGGACGAGCTGAGGGGGGGTCAAGAGAGGGTCCAGAGAGGACCGGCGGATGGCAAGCGGACACCCCAACCTGGACTGGGGTCTTCTTCACTGGAGCAGGAGAGTGGGATGGAGACGCCATCGTCCAAGGATAAAGGGGACAGTCTGGAGAGAAGGAACCAGGGAAATAGGTGAGGATGTCTGGAGCACTTGAAAAACTTCTTATGGTGGCAATTAAAGTGATAATTCACCCAAAAAAAATCATCATTTACTCATTATGATTTAATTCTTCAGTGGTCCAATGTTGTTTTGGACACTTCTGACTTCCATTGAATGGACAAACATAATTCTTCAACATATCTTCTTTTGTTTTCAACAGAAGAAAGTCGTACAGATCTGAAACGACTGTGAATTAAATGATGATTCGATTTCCATTTTTGGGTCAACAATACTTTTTAGCTGTAGACGCCAAAGCTGTGAGCTCTGCTTTCTGTGGCATACACTTTGACGGCTGTGTTTAATGGGATTTCTTACTGCCTGGGACCGTGTTTTAATCTGTCTCAGAAGGTTATAGTGTGCTTTCAGATGAACCTTTTTGTTGGGTTGCAATCTCAGCAATTGGGCATCTTGACTTAGTAGTCTAATAGTAGTCTAGTTAGCACATCTGAACTGGCTGGTGTTTCAAACCAGAGAGCCCTGTTCTTGCTCCTGGCACTTTCACACTAAAAGCTTTTTGGCTTTTGTAAGTTTGGTTTGCTTGTAATGTGCATTTAGGAACGCAACTTGCAATATCTGTTTCACCAGCTTTGTAATGAGAAGTACTTTTAGATCTGCCAACAAAAGATAAACTTCAAGGATTTCCTCCACAAAATAAAAACTTGATTGTTTAACATTTAAAAATGAAGAAATTAAGACATAAATATAAGTATTGTAATTTTAGTTGTTCAACAGAATCAAATTATTATTACACTATCTTTATTAAATACTCAAAATTGTGCAGCCCTACAAAAAACAAAAGCAAAACATAGCTAACCTGGATCCTTTTTAAAAATCACATTTTAAATTGCGTAAGTTAGCCGAAAAATAGATAATTAGACACTGAAAACAATGCATCTGATTGAGACCAGCGATCAGTTTAATTATTCATGGCTTCCTCAAGACCAGCTACTCGTTCGGGAAACCCACCAACTAGTCTAATTTGAATATAAGTTCCTTTTAGGTTTGCATAGGCAGGGCTGTACGTTAACTTTTTTTTCACATAGCACTGGTGCTACAGAGGTTGAAAGTTTTGTTAAATCAATCAGACACGTAAGACAACTTAGTCCAATTAATCAGGCGCTTTTTGACAGGCTCTCAGTGTGAGCGCGCTTCATGAGTACGCGCTCAGAAAAAGCGCATGCAGAACCTATCGAATTATGCTACCCTCTGTTTTAATGGGAGGTAGCAAAATCTGACAGTGTAGCACAAATCGTCAGAACACCGACAAGGCTTTTAAGCAGATGCAAATAATGTACTTTTGAGTTGCGCATTAGTGCAGTGTCCCGTGAGAGTAACTCTACCGCTGGCGCTGAGTTAACACTGGCGTTGTACAGTATATTGAGACGGAGGAGGCGCCAGAACTGCAGCTGATAGAATGTACGCTGTAGCACGATACAACGATATTTCTTCAAAAGCAGATCGTGGAGACATTTTAATCGTCCACGATCAAAAATCGTCATATCGCACACCCCTAACTACCAAGTATAATCAATCTCACACACACAAACAAGCACAAGAAATCACTTCACACTAAGCGGCTGTGTTATGAACATGCAAAACGGTATCGCACGCGTGCTACAGTGGTAAATTTATTCATCGCACAGACCAGTTTTTTCGTAGCACGTGCGTTTCGTAGCATATATGTCGCACTGTACAGCCCTGGCATAGGGGTGGAAAATTTAGGAAAACTTTCCAAATGTTTACTCAAATTCTCCAAAAGTTTCCAAAAAAATCCAGGGAAGTTTAAAAAATTTCTGGAAAGTTTCAGAAATGTTCTGCCCTTTTGCCACCCTAGTTCCTTTGCATTTCTAGTTCTGCCCTGCAAAAAGAACTCCCTCTTTCATTTTCTCTCTCTCTCTCTCTCTCTCTCTTTCTATCATACACACAGTTACAGTAGCTGTTGTGCCTATATACTGTATGGCTAGAAGCAGATGAAGCCAAGTTTTTGTGTGTGTATGTTAGCAAGGGTCAAAAAAGACCAATGTTTAAAAAAGCATACAGCTATAACGAATAAGTAAAAATGAAAAGAAGCATTGAAAATGAGGTGGGTTTTTTTCCACATGCTTCGTCCTCTCTCTGTTTAAAATGCCTCATCAGGACAGTAGTTGAACGGAAAGAGAAAACTGACCATAGAAGAAAAAAAGGGTTATGCTAAAGTCTGCTGTAGGGCCTCTTGTGGTCACACTGAGAATGCAGCATACATGGATTTCATTATGAATAGCGTTTTTGAATAATGAATTGCATCATGAATTGCGTTTATGAATTTCTGAACCCAATAGTGCATGGAATTGTGCTTGGAAAGCTACAAGCATTTGTGTTCAGAGGTTCACCATTTCAGGCATTTTGTTATTAAGTTTATTGTCTGATGAACACATATGTCAGAGTATATCTGTCATTGGAAGCCATGACTCATTGGATAAGGTCTTACCTGGTTTGACGCACATGATGTCACACATTGGCTTTCTGGGTCAGCCTCGTAGTCTCTTTGCGGGTAAAAATAGCTTGCAGGTTCTGTTCTCTTAATATTTTCTTAATGTTGGACTCTTGAAGCTGTTTTGGCACATATATGCTGTTTAGCTGGTCGAGCTCCAGCTGCTGAGAACACTGTGTATGAGAGAGAGAGAGAGAAAGGTGCCTAGCAGCCTCTAACAAAATCAGCCTTAAATGGTCACACACTTTTCCTTGTTAACACACAACCGTTAACACACCCTGGAATGAGCTGTTTTGTATACCTGTTTGCTAATTGTAGCTTCTTGGGTGGGACACCCTCACACACACTTCCACCTACTTAAACTTCAAACCTATTGGTTTTTCAGCAGCTGATTTTAGAGTGCACAGTTGTTTCTCTTTTTTTAGGTTAACTATACCATTCTCATCCAGTGTTGTTATTGTTAACTAAAACAATTAAAATTGTTTTCGGTAATTGAAATAGAGCTGAAATAAAATGAATTATAAATCTAAAAAGTAAAACTTAAAAAGAAAACAAAAGAAATGCAATTAAATATGTTGCTTTTATGACTAACTAAAATAAGTTTAAGTACTAAACTTACTAAAACTGAAATAAAAAAATAAAGCTAAATAGAAATAATTTAAGAAAACAAAAACCAATAAAAATTATGAATGCACAAAAAATGCAAATTTAAAAGTCAAAAATAAAAACTGATACAAATTTTGAAAATATTAATAAATAGTATAATGGTTATTAATACTAAAATAAAATTTTTCCCATTTCTCAAGCATCTTCCTTGCATGTTTTCTCTTCTTTCCTTTTTTCTTTTGCATTTTTTTATTATCACATTTTTAATTTAGCTATTATAGTTAACTAAAACTAATAATAAAAAATAAAAAAAATTACCTAAAAGAAATGTTAAAATATGAATATTAAAATTAAAAAATAAAAATATATGTAATAGCGAATGACAAAAAAAAAAACATAATTACTAAAACTTTTTAAAAAATTCAAACTGAAGTAGTACCTCAGTGATACAAAAAATCAGTGTAGTTGTTTGTTGTACAAGTTGTATGTGTACGTGTGTTCTCAGGAAAGCAAATTAGCAGCTCACACTCACTCAATTAAAAGTAGGGCAAGTTTTCCAGCTTGTACGTATTTTTGGAGTGTGTGTGTGTGTGTGTATGTGTGTGTGGGGTGCAGCTAGAGGACGTTCAGTGCAAGCTGCCGTCAGAAGGAGTGTAGCCCAGTAACACTGAGCTGTTTTTGGGTAGAGTCACAGCGCACGTCCCTGAGGTCATGGAGGAAACCTGGTTCTCTTTACTTGTACACGCGTTGCTTGTCCAGTGGATGTCAGAGAGGGTAAGAGCTCTACTCTTGAGGGGTTCTTGGGCTGCATTTAAAACCTAGTGAGCTGCCTACTTGGATAACAACATTTGGGTGTCATTAGACAAGTTCTGAATGTTAAAATGTCCCCAAATGAACATTTGATTTAATTTGAAACACACGTATATCCAAAATGCTGTCTAGCTAGGCAGCTGACAAGATTTTGGTTTTGAAACATTGTAATAAAGTTAGAGTTATGGGATATTTGCTTTTTAGGAAGCACTGCTGGTGTTCTCCACCCGTCTGGATATATGAGCTTGTGTGTGTGTGTGTGTGTGTTTATCCTTGTGCTAATCGGGCACTGGCATCATGGAGGGCTCTCCCCCCTCGCCTTTAACATATGGGCCATCTCTCTGGTCAATGTGTGTGTTCATTTTTTTTGCCAGAGATGTACAAAGAGCTCTTGTTTTGGCTCTGTACACACTACAAATCTGTATTAGTGTTCCAGATTTTGTGACTTTTGTGTACTGGCTTACGCAGGTGAGTAGAGCTATATTATCTTTTGGGTTATGAGTAACAAGACTTTGTCATTCTTGTTTTGATGGGTTGTTTTACTGTAATGCTATAGTGTCTTTATAAGTTTGTTACTTTCTATATTTGATAGCAAATGTTGATCGCTAACTATGTTGTTTTGATGTTTTGAATGCTGATCCCCATTATGCTAGGAATAGTTCACAGAAAAATGAAATTTTGCTGAAAATGTACTCGCCCTCATGTCATCCAAAGTATAGATGAGTTTGTTTGTTCATCAGAACAGATTTGGAGAAATGTAGCATTACATCACTTGCTCACCAATGGATGCTCTGCAGTGAATGGGTGCCGTCAGAATGAGAGTCCAAACAGTTGATAAAAACATCACAATAATCCAAACCGCTCCAGTCCATCAATTAATGTCTTGTGAAGTGAAAAAGCTGCGTGTTTGTCAGAAACAAATTCATCATTTAGGCGTTTTAACTTTAAATTGTTGCTTTTTCAATCCAAAATGCATTTTTTGTGTTGTTTTGCAGTGAAAACTCACCAATAATCATTATTAGTAATTGCATATTATTAATGTAATTAATTGCATTACATCACTTGCTCACCAATGGATGCTCTGCA